AACAGCCTTCTCAACAGGCTGAAGGAAAGCTGCAAATACATATTGTAGTTTTGTGCGTTATTATTTTTTGTTTGTTTCTGATGAGATATGGGAGGATCAACACATGCCACAGGCTTTTGGAGATGGTGACTGACACCAGACTGCTGAATGAGGGGGATGAGAAAGGACTGACCCCACTGCATCTGGCCTCTCGTGGAGGTCACGTTAAAGTAGTCGAGCTTCTCCTACGCAAGGGGGCGCTGTTTCACAGGTACAAGTGCATGCACAATTCACCTTTTGGTGAAATCAAATTCAGGAACCCTGCTTTAGGCGCTTTCAGTATGATGCTATTGAGCAACGTAAAATTTTCATGCATACTTTATTTATATGCTTTATGTTTAGTGACTATAGAGGATGGTCATGCCTTCATCATGCTGCATCTGAAGGATACACACAGACCATGGACACTTTGCTGACATCTAACATCAAACTTCTAAACAAAACTGATGGAGATGGGGTAGTTCGCCTAATTTGCTAAAACATTTCTGACACAACTTGGTCACATTAAGAAATATATTAAGAAATTAACACTTTTATTTAGCAAGGATGCATTAAACTGATCAAATGTGGCTGTATATTTCAAATATATGCTTTTGCATTAGAATGATTTCTAAAGCTTTGCCACCACAGGAATTAATTACATTTGAAAATATATTAAAAATAAAAAGTGATTTCAAATTGTACACTTACAGAAAATTATCGATCGTGGTGCTCTAAATATTGATCTCTTTTAGAACACAGCTTTGCATCTGGCTGCTAGAGCAGGTCATGTGGCAACAGTAAGACTGCTGTTATACAGAGGGGCCAAGATCATCCTCAACAAGAATGATGCCTCTTTCTTGCATGAGGCCGTACATAACGGGAGGAAGGAGGTCACCAACACTGTGATCGAGAGTGACAGGTCAGCTTGGCCAATTTCTAGAAATGTTTGAAATGTGTTTCCCAGTTTCTTCATTTATCTCATCTTTGTTGAATACAGATGTGAAGAGGCGATGACAACGTACAAACCAAACTCATCAAAGCGTTGCATTGTCATGGACATGATAGAGTTTCTTCCAGAGTCCTTTAAAGTGAGTTTTTACTGCTGCTTAAGCCTGACACTTAAATTAAAGGTTTAACACTCTAACCAGCAGGGCATTGCATGTTTCCCCAGCATCTTCTAGACACTTGCATAAAGGAATCAGAGGAAGATGTTAACAGCACCAATTACTACGTAAGTTTCCTTTTGTACTAGATGCATAAAGTAACAACCTCTTCAGCTAACACTTTGTATGTTCTCCAGATTGAGTACAATTTCAGGTGGCTTCAGCATCCACTGCAAAACCTTAAAAAGACAGGCATGGAAAAAGACAACACCTACAAACCTCTCAGTGCACTAAATGTTGGTACTTTACAAAAACTATGTTATAGCTGTGTTAATTGTGAATGGCCACGTTCAGAAAATGTGTCTCCGCTACAGGCTATGGTGAATTTTAACCTGGTCAGTTTGCTGACACATCCGGTCTGCAAGAAATATTTGGAGATGAAATGGTGAGTTATACAGCTGAAACGTGAATCTTAAATTTTGATGTCTCAGCATCCTGAGCTAATTAACATTTTTGTTCTACAGGAATGCCTATGGGATCAAAGCACATCTGCTCAATATGACGGTGTATGCGCTGGGGGTGTTTCCTCTAACATATCTCATTGTGAATCTGAAGCCCACACTGGTCACTGCAAGAAATGTCACATCAGTCAACATGGTCTGCACGTCCCTGTACAAGGTACAATATACTAAAGCAGTACGGTCCTGGAGGGCCACTGCCCTGCAGAGTTTAGCTCAAACCCTGATCAAACTGACTTACCTGTGATTTTCTAGGGATCCTGAAGACCTTGATGAGCTTGCTCAGGTGTGTTTGATTAGGGTTGGAGCTAAACTCTGAAGGGCATAGGCCCTCCAAGGCAAGATTTGAGGAACCCTGTACTAAAGCAATTCATCAAGAAAGACAAAGAAGAAAAAAAACTATGACGCAACTTCTCTTTCTATACAGCAATCCTATATAATCACAGCATGTATGATCCTGGTTCTTGCAATGAATATGTATGCAGTTGGGAAAGAGATCCTGCAAATAACTCAACAGGTTTGTATACGCTGCACTTTATATTTCCAGCCTTACCTGTAAGTAGTCAAATAAGTAAGCAAGCAAATGAATGAATGAATGAACGGTCTTGGGGAAATGTTTGATAGTTGATACTGATCAAACCAATAACTGCTTGGAACCGATCGGATTTTTATATTATGTTTACTGATTTGATTATGATCCCGTGCAAAGATGTTCTTAATTAGGCCTAATAACGCGTTATAATCTCACCGATCACCAACACAACATAAATGGTCAATAAATGTACATTTATAAATATTTACACAATTATAAATATTTAAACGTTAATTTGATCTAACATTTACTAACCCTTTGCATAGAAGAACTCCATCATTATGGTAAAATTAAGTTATAACTCAAGTTTAGTCGACGTGTGTTTTGTCAAGTTTACGTGTTTTGAGATTCGTAATAATCTAGATTTCATCAATATTTTGGCAAGATGTGAAAGTTTCTTTCAATTTCTGTTGCAATCTTCTAATTGGTCAGTTGAGTAACGAGAAGAGCGATGCGCCTGGGCTACAGTGTAATAATGATACTAATAACGATGATGATAATGCAAAAAGTGCAATATAATTTTGAGGACGCTCATCTTCTCAATTGACTCCTCTGACGGCCTCACCACTTTATGAGCTTGAAAAGATCTGCAAGTTAAAGTACTGTAAGCCTAATCGTTTAAACTGTGTCTTGCCTTTGCAAGCGGGTGAATTATTTGCGGGATCTGTCTAACTACATGGACTGGGCCGCTGCGATCTGTTCTCTGGTGTTCGTGGTGCCGCTACTGCTGACCGTGAAGAGTTCCTGGCACTGGCAGGCTGGAGCACTGGCAGCTCTGGCCTCCTGGATGAATCTCCTCCTCTATCTCCAGCGGTATTGGCCTGCTAGAGTGACTAATACATCCACAGAGCAGAAGCATTTCATACCATTTTCAATGACTTATCTGTATCTCTCATGTCTTTAGGTTTGAACGGATTGGTATTTATGTGGTAATGTTTCGGGAGATCTCACGGACACTGCTGAGCATTATTTTGCTGTTCTTTTACTTGATATTGGGATTTGCATTGGCATTCTATGCCTTGATGATCGAACAGGTGTGTATATGAGTGTTACTAAATGATTATTAAACTTAATAAAGATTAATATGACAATTTGTGGACATTTTGGAACACTAGTCTTAATGTTTAGTTTTATAGGTTAAGTTTAATATATGAATTAATTTTACAGCAACATTTCGGGAGGATGTTCCTGTCACTGCTGCAGACCTTTGTCATGATGGTAGGAGAAATCAACTACCAGGACAATTTCTTGAAACCCTTCCTGCAAGGAGACCTTCCTTTCCCCCTTTTGACATTGTCAATCTTCGTTTGGTTTGTGTTGCTTGTGCCTATTCTTCTCATGAACCTGCTGGTAAGTCCTAAAGAAAACAGGATCTGAATTAAATATATTTTAAAAGTCCACTATGCCAGATTACATATCAAACTCGTGTATTTTGAGTTTAGATTGGTTTGGCTGTTGGTGACATAGCAGAGGTTCAGACAAATGCCTGTTTAAAGAGGATTGCAATGCAGGTAATTCAACACCAACACACTAATACTGTGTCCTAATAATAAGAATACATTTTCCCCCCTAAAAACAATGATTTGTTGTCATGCTACTCCACAGATTGAACTTCACACTAATCTGGAGGAGAGGCTTCCCTATTGGTTTATGAAACGGGTGGACCAGGTCATCGTCAAAGAATTCCCAAACAGATGCTTCAGTGGAAAGGTCTGACAGCACAACACAATAATAAGATAATGTTCGTGTTTCAAAGGGCAAACCAACTTTGATAATTGTGCGGTAGATGGTAAATACATATTTTTCATGTATTTTACTAACACAAAGCTATATAAAGTATTTTCTGAAAAAAAAAAGATGATTTTTTTTTTAGGTTAAAAAACAACTTTCCATCACTTGTTAAGGCAGATTTAATGTGTTTGTGAACAGAAAAGACGTTTTTTCTGTGGGAATGAGGTGAGGAAGTCCAGGACCCGTCTCAGTCCTACCATCTACCAGTTAACTCCACTGGAACGGGAGCTAACCAAACAGAAATACAGGTAACACCAACCTGACAAAAAACTTTGTTAGCCAAATTTAAGTTAATCAATTCCTGAATTAAACACAATATACGTTAGGCAGGGCCATGTTTAATTCTTGACAGGAATAAAATCCAGGCTGTAAGTACAGTGCGTTCGGTGAAATGTACTATTGTTTAACATATTGATTGTTCAGCTTTCAAAGCAGAAAAGCTTTCAGTAGACAAACACTTCATAAAACTGTTTTGAAAGTTGTGATTAAAGACTAAGTCTATCCCTCACATCCTCATTTTCATCTACGTTTAATTTAACATGGCATCTAACCTGACCATGTGCTGCGAATCTTCTCAGGATGAAGGAGATGTCAGAGACCGTGGAAAAGCAACACAACCTGCTAAAGCTTATAGTGCAGAAGATGGAGATCAGCTCAGAGGCCGAAGAACATGACGGACCCCCAGTCTTTCAAGAAATGAAAGAGAAACTCCTCAGTAGGAGCAAATGGGGTCCACTGCTCAGGGCAGTGACCGCCAGAAAGAAGGGAGTCTGCAAATTCATGAAAACGTCATGAACAAGACATTGTTTGAACAGAGTTGTTGTATTTACTCACAAACTGTGATGATGTGGCTAATATTTCTCAGTATGACCTTGCTTCTGTAAAACAACCAAGGCTGAAACCAAATACCAAGCATCTAGCATTGTGTCTATAAGGAATGTGTTAAATGTTACAAAGTTTGACCATAAATTCAACCAAAGGCAAGACCTGTTTTATTACTGAAAATCATTGTACATTGGTTGTGTTTGTTTATTAATAAATTGTGTGGATCATGTGAATGAGAAATGCTTGCTTGCACAGATTCTCATTAAAACTATTCATTTTCATTGTTTTTTTTTTATTTACGTATCAGTCACAGTTCTTCAGAGCAGATGATTTACTATTTGTTATCGATTAGTATCGGCATAAAAAACTTAAAATAATAAATTTGACCTTTGCATCTAAAAAAATAACAAACAACAACAACAAAAATTGCTAGCGAGTTTTTCCAACCTCAACACAGAATATCCACAGCTACGGTATGTCAGACTATCAGTCCTATGAGTTTAGATGCAGAGACAAATTTAGGACTCTTTGGCCTTTTTGGTCTCTCCCTTCACCGTCATTCTCTTCCTCTTGACTCCAGTTTGCTCTGTTGAGATACATAACTTTTAAGTATCACAAGGATCATGCTCGAGCTGCAGGAATCTCACACGAAATATGAAATGGGCTTCTGACCTTTGCCTGTAGTTTTATTTTGCTCCTCTCTCTGAGCTGAGTGCCTTGCAGAATGTGAGGAGGAGGACGAGGAAGAGGAGTCAGGGAGCTCCTTCCTCTGTCTGTGACCCTCCAGCATGCCTATCTCCTGGGCTTTTCCTAGAGAGAGGGGTGTGGTTTAGTTTAGAAGGGGGGAGAGCACTATTTTAATGAGTGTATTAATGTATGCATTTAATTTAAAAAGATGGTTTTCAAAACCACTTTTACTTTATATTACCAGACCAGTTTCCCCAAACTTGTTTTGATGATGATAATTCTGCGCTATGCATACTACACCTCTGACATCCAGAGATAGAGATGCATTTAGAGAGCATAAAACAAAATCACAAAGCTTGTTAGTTTAGTTAGCCATGCATTCTGGTAGCACTGCAGCCAGCTTCATTTGGCAGAGCTGGAAGGCATTGATCAAGGACATTAAAAGGCAACAGCTAACAAATGTTATGCGTAACAAAATTCACGATTCCTTTCATTGATAACTATCCATAATTTAACAAAATTAAATGAGACTTTTTTTTTTTTTTTTTTTTTTAAACACACCATACTTATCAAACCCTTCTCTTTACAATGCTTTTTTAAAATGACACTTCCATGACCACTTTAATATCTTTCATTAATAAACTTTGACAGTGTTGCATTATATAACTGCTTATTAATCTACATGAAAATGGTTAGAAATTTTATCCACACATTCAAAATCAGAATGTATATTACTACTTTAATCTGAAAGCATCACATACTATTTGGAACTGGCATATTAAGGAAGTTACCCCTTTGCGAGAAACTGCTCACTGTCTGTATTTGGTCTCTAGTTTGAATATACTTCAAACATTAATAATGATCAATATAAATTCAGCATAACTGAGTTGAGGTAAAAATATTACTCATTCTAAACTCCAAAAGATGCAGAAAAAAAGTAAACATATTTTGGTATAAAAGAGTAGAGCATTGTTAGTTGAAGCAAACAAGCTGCAACAACGCTCCTGTAATGATTGGATTTGAAAGAAAATCAAAGATGACTCTCAGTTAAAGCAAAACTACATAGACTGCAGAGCTGCCACATCCCCAAAAAGGATGAAACTCATTTATTTAGGTTCAATTTTTTTTTACAAAGTACACAAAGTTCCGTGAACGGTCATAAATCAGTTATATTATTAACTCCGATTCTCATCAGGTTATTTAGTAATAACATTACAACTAGAAACAACATTTGTTGTCTTACATGCAACAATGAGGGGGAAAAAAACTAAAACATTTTCATTAATTAAAATGAATAAAAATTGCATATCAGTACATTGAATCTAGCACTCTACCAGCATTTACAAATATGTTTAACAAATTAATTAGACAAGTTGCCATAAGGTTTGAACATTAAGCTACGCACTCCAATTCCACACTCCACACTGTTGGTAAAGTCATGCACAATGCACAATCCTCTTTCTCCTTTCAGCCCAAAGCAGTATTCAAAATGCAATGTGCATTCATGAGGACACTGCAACACAAAGTGCTCGCGGAAAGAAAAACTAATCTCACATTATGGTCCCAAATACAAGTAAAATTACACGTATCCTGTGCAAAATACTGACAGTACCCATTTATAAATATATAAACAATAAATTGTTCAGAAACAACAGTCTAAAAATGAAAAAAGGAAAGAAAAAGAAACAGCAAAAAAAACAAAACAAAAACGCAATGTACAGACATCTGAACGACAGTACTAACATTGCTTGAGCTCAGGTTTGTGCTGAAAGGGCTCCATTATCTTAATTGTGTTCCAATCGCAGCAGTTGTTCCTTACCATTTACGGTTATAGATTTTAACTGTCCATCTTCTTCCACTTCTACACGTTCCTGGCCATTCTCGATGATTCTATGGAAACAACAGCACATCTATGACTTACAGGAAAATGTTGTTTCAGGCTACGTTGCTTATATAGTTGGTTTGACGTTGCTTTTATATCTCAAACCTATCCCACCTTATTTTGCAACATGTAAGTAAGCTATTTCATGTGAATGTGTGAGACTTCTGATTCATTAGATGCTATAGGTAGATAATTAGAAGAAAATCAAAGTGCAGTAAATGGTGAAAAATGATTGCAATACATAGTGTAATAATAAACTATATGATAAAAAAAATACCAGTTTGCAGTATCAAGTAGCATAATGAGCTGTTCTGTACAGCTAAAAATAACTAGAAGCAGATGATACCAGACCCGCAAAAAATATGTTAAAAATAAAATAGATCATTTACAACTCTGGAAAGATGTCTACCTTTTTGTAGTGATTTTCCTGCCATTGATGAATTTAGTGGAGGTTGACACAGAGCGGAAGCTGCCCATGCTTCCACCTCCACCTCCACCTCCACCTCCACCTCCACCTCCACCACCACCACCACCACCGCCGCCGCCGCCTCCCCCTCCCCCTCCACCAAATGAAGATGAAGAGAAAGAAGTAAATCCACCTCCTCCCATATGCCCAAAGGGAGAGAAACCTAATGAAATAAAAAAAAAAAAAATAAAATAAGTAAAGAAAGATAGAAATACTATGGCACTAAAAAAACATTTTCAAAAGTTTTCTAATCCATGAGTTGCACATCGATGTAAATTTATACAGCCTTACACCTATAAAAAGATATACACCCTGACGTTTGACTTCTAATACAAGTTTTAGAATTTTTTTTGGTCAGTTTTGGACTTTATTTTGAGCAGTTTGTGTTTGCACTTTTACATCAATTGAAAAGAGTTTGATCTGAAGCACAAACATATTTGTAACATCTGACCTGCATCAAAAGATGAAAATCCTGCTCCAAAAGGAGGGAATCCCCCAAAGCCCCCAAAGAAGGAGCCTCCTGTCCGGCTCCTGCTCATGCCCCGCTGGTGGTGGTGGTGGTGACGTCGACCGCCACCAAAGAAGTCATTGTCAAATGGATCTCCACCTAAAAATGTAAAGAATGTAGCATTTAAAGACCTTATGTAGCTCCGCCCATTTTCAGTGTTGTGCTTGTCGTCTTCTGTCTTCCGGATTGTATTTCCACAGCATGAAGATAAGACCTTACAGATTTATGAATGAACCCCTCATTTTAAAATCTTCCCGATCTACTGACATTTGTTATGACATCCACTTCAAACATTACAAAGCTCATGATAAAAGTTACAACAAAAACAGAACTTCAAAGACAAAATTCTAAAGATGGCTGTGCGATTGTTTCTCTGGCACATAAGGTCTATGGAATTGCCTGTGAAAATCGACTTTGCTAATGAACGCACACAAAAAACACTGAGGTAAATACAAACTCACCAAAGAATTCTGCAAATGGATCTTGTCCACCAAAGAATTCCCTGAAAACATCATCTGGATTGCGGAATGTGAAAAAGTGGTCATTATTAAAGTGTCCTCTTCCTCCTCCTGTCCAAATGAGGAAAAAAGTGAAAGGTTCAAACATAACAGACTGGCATACCGTCATATTATTTATATACTTATATTTATTCCAAATTAGGAATTAATTCGGACCAAACACCGTATCATTAAAATTCACTGTAGGATGCAATTTACCTCCACCTCCACCTGGAGTTAAGCCTTCTTTTCCATATCGATCGTATACGTTCCTTTTGTTTGCTGAAGGAGAGTAAACCAAGAGTTAAGCAATGAACTCACAGTAAAGCAAAAATACTAACATAAAATGTGAAAGACCATATAGATTCTTTGCACAGCAGCTGTCAGTAACCTAGTAATTCTATTACTCAAGCACCAGCTCTGAATCACACCTGGAAAGCACCAGACACAGTGGGTGCAGTAACATCAGTCATTATTCATTTTTTGGAATTCGAATAAGGTCCATCATAAAGAGCAGCGGCTACAAACGCTGAACACAACCCCTCTTTATAAAGGACTGTCTCAAAAGTGCAAAGTCTGTACAAGGCTGATAAGGCTTTGTTTAGTATACAATTTTGATGACGCCGTGAGAGTGTGTGCAATCAGCTGTGCCAGAATTGGCTAAAAAAATAAATAAATAAAATAACTGCTTGTTTACAGTATACTCACAATCTATAGCTCCTTGATATAGCCCATTTAAAACTTTTACTAACATCTATGGGTGATAAACTTTTTTTTAGAAAGGCCCAACAGTAAGGATTTTTTTTTTTTTTGGAAGAACATGAGGGTGAGTAAATTAATACAGGCTGTTCATGTTTGGGTGAACTCTCTCTTTAAAGCTTCTCTATGTCCACAAGCTAGCCAACCACCAACAATATTAATACATTCCATTAATACCTTCTTCCTGACACTGAGACAAATTTGGTTTGACGTTGGATATTAGACATATATTTAGCCTTGAAAAACTTCAATAGATCATTAACAATTTAGAATAATGGCAAAATACGTGTTTTGTTTGAATTGTTTAAAAATGTAGAAGAGAACAGTGTTGTTTATGTGTCTTATTCTGTCTTGATGTATGGCAACTCATAGATTTTATAATGTAATGGCGCAGGATAGGGGCCATCTACAAAGTACAAAACGAAGAGAATAATGGTTCAATGGTTCCACATCCAAAAGCTTAACTGTTGAAAGAAAAAAAAAAAAAATTGTACACACAACACCTTGAAATATCTCATTTGCTAAACAACACATGCTAGATATTGTAAAGTGAAGTGAAGTGACATATATGGTGTGACCCATATTAGGAATTAGTGCTCTGCATTTAACCCATCCAAAGTGCACACACACAGCAGTGAACACACACACACACACCGTGAACACACACCCAGAGCAGTGGGCAGTCATTTATGCTGTGGCGCCCAGGGAGCAGTTGGGGGTCCGATTAAAGCATTTATACAAAAAACGCGAGAGTTTATTTTCTGAAAGTTCGCTGATGTGACCACATGCACGTATAAACGATATAATTAGGCTACATGGCGGAGAGCTGATATCACATGCTACTAACTACCAATTAAATTACGTTATCCTTATATTTATTTTTTATTTATCTTGTGATTCTTTGGCGTCGTACTGGGTCCCTCTGCTGGCTTGTTTTTGTATTACGCTTCGCAGGTGCACAGAGTTCAATTACAGACTGTCCACTGCAGTTTCAATCGTTGATGAGTTATAGGCTAGAACACAGCGTCAGTAATAACAACTCTTATAATTGTGAAAACAAGAATGAAATAAACATAGGCTAATTACATTAATGAATCAATTAAAATATTTAAAAATAAAAAAATGCATAAATAGAAAGACTTGCATATTAACCTAACATTAATAGAGTTGAAGATTATTAGTGCCAGATTCAAAAAATGACATTTGTAATGTGTGGCTCTGATATAAACAGGTGCTGGTCTTAAGCCTTGTCACTGACATTCATCTGTTTCTCATTAAGCTAAGCCTGTTAGCAGTTCAGCAGCAAGTGCCCTTTCCAGACCCATCAGTTAGAGTCCATATGCAGATAGACAGTGGCTATCCTTCAAATATAAAATATGAATGGGAAGTTCCTTTTGGCATTAATCCGGGTATGAGGTGCCAGAGAGATACTATTAGGATACTATCAGAAGTTAATCATCTCAGTGTTCCAACAGTTAATGCCAATTTTTGCATCGATAGCCTAAAGTAAAACAAACTGGCTAGCTGACAATGCAGTTGTCATTTTGGCAATGGGAATGCGTAATTTATACTGATAAATGGGCATGATAAGACGGGTGCAGCAGTGGTACGTAAATTATTAACTCCAGTCTCTTTTATGTCTGTTCTTTTTTCTCTCTCGTAGCTGTTTCAGTAATGAGGGATGAAATAGAGGAAGTTCTGCTTCATGTTACTTACACATCCAGGTACTGCGGTCCTGCTGTGCGGGATGCAGAAGTTTGTCAAGTTGAGCCTTAAAACAACAGGGAAACCTTGACCTGTTAGATCACAGCCATACATTCTACAATTTCTCTCCCTCACTCTGTCCCATTTGTCCCCTCAGGATGGTAATGTCTAATTTTATCCATGGTTATTGAATAACAGTTCATGAGAAGGCAGAACCAGAGTCAGGTTGAATAATCGATCATGCTGCTCTTGCTGCTATAAACAGAAGTGGGCTAAGTGCTTCATCAGGGAGGGAGAGGCCTGTGAAAAAAAGACTCATCACTGTGAACAGGGTTCAATGCCTTCAAATGTAAAATCAAGAGAAAATGTGTTGCTTGATGAGTGATATTTACATATTATAGATTATTTGGAGGAATGTCATCACACATAGGGTCACTGGCTCTAAAGGAGCGATGTCTAATCTTAAGTGTTTATTGCATGGCAGAGGTCAGAGGTGAGTTTCACTGGCTTTAAAGTCATTTACACCTTAACACCTACGCTACCTCACCTCACCACTTGAGGGCTTCACAAGACTTCAGACATCAGTCTGGCAGATAATCACATTTATAAATCACTGCACACCCAAGCTTGGCTGGTCTCCTTTTCCAGCACATTCTGGTAGACAGTATGACCAGAGAGGCTTATGCATCTGTGGCTTCTTCACTTATTGTTACAAGTTTTATTAAAGCTGATGAAAGTTGTCGAAAAATAAGTCATTTTTAAAAATTTGTTTATTAGTAAAAAGTAAACAATTCCCAATATAATTTCTGAGAATGTGTGTTAAATTCATAATATTGACAGGATTGATAATAAAGACATGAAAGGATAATTTTTCTACATATTGTTAATAGAAAACATGCCCTCAATGCCCCTGAAAATCAATTACAAGTGACAACCTGAACAAATAAAAACAAAAACAGTAATACTGTGAAATATTATTGCCATTTAAAATAACTTTTTCTATTTTAATATATCGAATTGTAATTACTTCATGTAATGTATGCCTGTGATGGAAAAGCTGAATTTACAGCAGCCATTACTCAGGCTTCAGTGTCACATGGTCCTTCAGAATTCATTGTTATCAATGTTGAAAACCGTTGTGCTGCTTAATTATTTTTGCAGAAACTGTGATACTTTTTTCCTTGATAAATAGCATGTGTTTGAATCTTTTGTAACATTTGCCTTTATTGTCATTGAACAATTTAATGCAACAATGAAAGTAATACTTTCCTTTAAAAAAATACTGACCCCAAACTTTTGAATGGTGATGTATATGCTTTTCTTGCAATTTAAAGTGTTGACAATACAAATTGTACATTAAGGTTGTATTAAACAATATAAACTTTATGAATGATTCTCTTTGTCCTTATTCAAGATTTTGTGCTCATTCACTTGCTGCAGGAAGAAATGAGAGAAGTCCTGCTGTTAATAGACAGCCTCAGATACATGCATTAATTTAACTGTACAGCCACATTCACATATATGGGACTCACATCTCTGAGAGTCAAGATTAAACTCTGCTCTGCTCTTTGAAAGACTAATGAGGTTGAATTACTGTTCGCTTTTTATCCCACAGAGGAAATGGAAGGAATAGGATTCAGTTTTCTTCATTTTCATTTTCATTTTTGTTCCGTTTTGACATGTTCATGAAAACATACCTTCACTTTTCAGGTTTAAACAAATGAACAGCTGATGACTAATTTCTGTTTTGTGCCCCAACACAGCATTTCACAAGGATAATACAGTTTATGTGCACAAACCATATCTTTATGTGTATTTTATCAGTCAATTACACGGCGGCCATACATCAAAATACGCATAACCTTTGTGCACAGAATGAGATAGAATTCATGAAAAGGCTGCAGCTGTGACTGAATGAAATGGATTAATCAACTATACACAAGATCTTGTGGTGTTCCACAGGAATCCCCTTTTATCTTCACTTGACAAGTCACTACAAGCATGTTCCTTCCAGAGAGCTTACAAGACACAACTCACAGTTTTCCATTAGTCGTCTGGAGTCACAGATCAAGGGATCTATCAGCATGAATTGATAAAAAACATCTATTTGGTTTCATCTGTGTGTAAACCTGTTACCTGTTAAGACAGTTCAAAATTTACAAAATCATCAAAGAGTACAATCACAAGGATCCTATACAAATTTAGGGATCTTTTCATTTTGACAATCCTGTCTCCTGACTTTGGTGCCGCTCGCTGAAGCTGGCCCCCTCTTTTGGAGGTCCATTATTGATGGCTGTCTCACTTTGTATTGCTGTTGCTTAGAAAGGGATACAGAGGCACTTAGGAAATTGAACTAGATGCAAACTTCATTGCACCAGACCTTTTAGTGATGTCATTAATTAAACTGCATTGTGAATATGGAGTGTGTTTGGCAGGAGACTGTGACAGCCATCGGCTGCTGGACTGACTGCTTCAACCCAAGCACTTAGACAAACATGCAGAGTGATGTCATCCAAGCAAGGCACTGCTGAGAGTTTTGGGAAAAGTAGTTTTTAGTCATCTATGAATTTACTATTGATCTGAAGCCAAAAATTATGCAACGTTTAAATTTAAACCAATTTAAATGAAAACAAAGACGGATAGACTAATACATCCAAGATTAAACAGATTAATAAATTGTTTAATAATTATTAAACACAACGATGTTCAATATTGTGAACATTAATATAGTCAAATTAGACAGACAGACAGATAAACTTTTGAAATAATCACATGTTGATGCTTTGCAGCCTGAAATGAAGACGGACACAGTTTTTGTTTTATCCAGCTGTATTTACTCAGTGTAACTTATAACATCCAAGTGAAAGATAGAATACCAACATGTCAGGATAAAAATAATAAATAAACCGAATCACTGAGTTGGAAAAAGGATCACCAGTATTTTGTTGAACCACCTTTTGCTTTAATTACAGTCTTTAGTCTGTTGGGATATGTCTCTGTCTCTACTAAC